TCTCTTCGTCGACTCTTGTTGCGTCGTCCAGTCAGTGCGTGTCAGTTGGATGCAAATGTCCTTGAAGAGAAACTCCACTCTGTAAGTTGGGTTACGCCATTGTTATCGATTTTCAAGGGATACTCACTGAACGTCAGGTGACACACTCTCGTTTATGACACATTTGAACAGAATAAGCTTCCAAAAACCACTTCATGTTTGAGTTGGTATAACATTCGAGATATCACATCACATTTTGTTGAGGAAAACTACTAAAACGGGTGTTGCAAACTCTCTGAAAGTCCAAGACTGGTCTCGCCATTCTTGGGTTTCACGAGGTAGGATCAGTCCCCGAGTGTTCTTCAACCTTGTGTTCTACCTGAACCCGAATTCGACCGATTTCGACAAATCTTTGCAACAGAAGGCTGATGGAAACTCAAGGATTGCACCGACCTGATGAGTCCCAAGAAGTGCGAAACCGGTCATCGGTTTCTTCGTATTTTATTAGTGCACAGTGTATGGTAACCATAATATAGTTCAGACGGAATATGCACTAATAAAAGGCTTTACTACAGTTGACAACTGTGAGATGCAACGCGTATAAAAATAAAAACAATGCGAAATGGGAGCAAGTCAAAGGAGGAATTTAGCGTCCGTGAGAGATCCGGACGCCAGAAACGTGTTTTCTCCGCACTATGGCTGCGGACTTGTGGAGAGTGATTGACTTCCTGCTCCCTGCACGCGCGCGAGTCTGTGTGTGCTGACTGTGTTCGGTTTCCCAATATGTGGGTCCGTTTGCGTGTACGTAGGTTTGTCAGCACGTGACCTTTTGCTACGCCTATCAGACGGTGGACAGTCGATGTCAGATGTGTCACTTTTGTGTGTGGTGATTTGTAGGTGTAGGGAAAAAGGGCGAGTCCTGTGATCCAGCTGTAGCATCCTTTCGATGCCTAGCTCCGATACCATATGAAGGAGGCACGAGGGCTGGAATACTGCCAAGTTGCCCAAGCCTAGACAGGGGAAGTCGAGAGACAGAGGTCGGGTTCGAACCACGGACCTTGCGGTCAGTAAATTCGTGCTCTAACCACTTGGTCCATCTCACCCCTGCCTGTGATCCAGGCAGCAACTGTGAGCTGTGCAGTCGCGGTTGTGTGGCGTAATTTGAAAGTGTAAGAAAAAAGACAGATCTCGTGATCTAGTGAGTGGCGTTGAGCTGTACAGTCATGTATGTGGGTGAAGGGATGGCTACATTTTACACTGATGAACCGTTCACCTTTGACGATTACCTGCTGAACGTATAGAGCAATGAAAATACTCATCAGGTAATCATAGTTTTGGGAGAAGATCCTGGTAGGCAGGGTGTCTGTGCAGCGAATCTGACTAAGTAGCAAACACTTCCTCAATCCCATCGAGATGCAGGTATCCTACTTTGGCAGGAATGGCCAACAGACAGAGCATTCTTTACTTTGCCAAGCTTAAAAAATATCGTGCTGTGCTTAGCGCTGATTTGTATTCGAGTCTTTCCTTTATGGGACCTGATATCGACGTCATTCAGCGTTTGCCTATTCTTGTTAGTACATCATCTCTGTCCTTGGAACCGAATTCTTTAGGCGTGTGGATGTGTCAACGCGGCCACGCGCAACCTAGCGTGCTCAGACATGTGGCTTTGGGACACGGGTTTCTGCAGACTCACGCAACTAACCATTTGCGGACGACCGGTTTTCATGTGACGAATGTTCGGGGACAACGTGAACACACATTGGTTCGGCCTGGTAGGTGGATACCGATAGGCCAATCAGCCAAGGATGGAGTAGAATAACCGATATGCAGATCGATAACGACGCGACTAGCGAGGATAACCAATATGCTGTCTTGCACCGCATTGGCATGAGGATGTGAACAGCGATCCAAGTTACAGAATCAGAAAAGTTGAGTGCCTTTTTGAAGAATTCATCAAAACGCCATCAACTAGTTTAATTAAAAAGATCATGCCCATTGAGGATGGGGTGGTAATTGAAGCGGCGGCACAATTTCTTCCCGGAAACATTTTTCGTGATTGTTCCACAGATTTTACTCATTACTTGATTTTTGTGTGGGTGTACCACAAATAGACGTAAGTACAGTGTGCTTTTAATGTCGTCTAATTTAACCCAAGATGAAGCAGTGCCTGTAAGTTTTGCAGTCTTTGTGACATATTTTTCGTTCAGAAACACAAAATGCACTCATTTCCACGTATTTTCTTCTACAGGTTTCATCAGCCCCGCTTACCAACCCTATTGAGCACAAGCCCAGTTCCTAATAGGCGTCATTCTGCTCCTCAAGCTGTGACCACGATAAACCCGGTCATATTGGTGTGAACTATTTGAGCACTGTGCCTCTTCTTCATTCATTAAATTGTACTCACTCATTTTACCACTAGTCTTGCTGAAGAAGGGAAGGTCCAAGCGGTTCTGGCTGGCGATTAAATTGGAATTTTTCTGTCGTTTGTTTATGCGACCATGAAGTTTGACAAAGAGTGTCTCTTTTTCATATGAGAACCACACATCCAGTCCACCCATCCATCCATAAGCTTCAGATTCCTAGGGGTGTCTGAGGGGCTCCACTTGACCTAGGCTTATTTGAACCGAATTCAAGAAGCAGTTAACGAGATCTAGTGAGGTGGGTGGTGGAACGTCTGAGATGACCATCATTGATCATCACCAAGGTCGATCTGATCGGTACTAAGCCATGGAGGTTCAGCCCTGATGAGAGTAGTTATGGAGACCGCATTTGGTTCGCCCTGAAGACCAATCCGCTACCCGCTTTGTCCCGTTTGGAGCTCGTCCACGAGCGGCTCATCAGTAGTGTGACTAGTTCTCACTTAGACAGGACTCAATGATACTCAGGCTCCAATCACAGAAACCACATCACGTGACCACGTATTGACTGGCTTCTTCTCAGAAGGAAGTTTCACTCACTTGCGAAATCACTCTTCTTCTAGATTGTGAAGTGAACACGTAAATTGTAATTCGATGAGATGTCGCCGAGGACAAATAAGGAATTTGTTTGCTTTCAAAGTACAGGACGGACTGGCTCTTATTGTCTTGGTTTTAAAGCATCTACAACACATTTTGTTATGAGGCCCATTCGCTGTCTACCAGAAGTTTCAAAACCCCGGGATCTCTGACCCACACACAGCACTTGCCTGTTGTTTTTCGCCAGAGGAATAAGGTTAATACATGGTTTGTAGCAGAGGACGGTGTTTTGATCTGTCATCCAGTAAGACTCTGTGAGTACCTTGAGGCTTCAATCGTAAGTGCGTACGGTTACAGAGATCAATCTTGGTAGAAAAATAGGGCATATGACAAGACTCGAATAAGTGTGCGTGCCAACAGGTATTCTACTAAGATTACCCTCATTTGCATATCGATTTGGTTTTGACGGGAAACTCACCTGGAGCCCAGCTGAATCTCTTGTTTATGGTGTTTTTGAGCGGCCCCAATGAAGCACATTCAGTTGCCTAAAAACATCATGAACGAAAGATTCATCTGGGTTCCAGGTGAGTCTCCCATCAAAACCAGATCGATAAGCAAATGAGTGTATTTGTCGAAATCTGTCCAATTTGGGTTCAGATAGAACCTAGGGTTGGTGGAAACTCTGGGACTTTGCCTACCTGAGGAGCCCCAAGAAAGACGAAACCGGCTGTTGGCTGTCAAAGAGTTTCCAGCAACCCTATGAGTAGTATATTACTTTAATACAAGGCATATTCCCAGTTCAGTACTGTCATTAGCAGGCATTCTGCATCAACCATGGCCTTCTGACTTCAGTAAATCGACAGATTGCCACAAGGACTATACGGAGTTCTTTAGAAAGATATTTATCACCTAATAACTTACAAGAAGTACCATGCCATTCATATAAAGAGTGATCGGAATGGGATACAGAAGAGCGCATCATGAACCTGCATGGCGATCAGAACGACCAACTACACAAATATACCATTAACCAATACAGTGAACACAATTTAGAATGCAAATAAAGTACGCATATTTGCATACTATCAGATTCACTCATCCATGAATCCATCATAAAGGTCGGATTCCTGAAATCAACCCCAGAACGCCCGGAACCTACTGAGACCTTAAAACTCCACCAAAATCTCAATAGAAAAGCCGGCAAGCATCCTGGCCAGTCAACCATTCAGTCAATTCAGCAAAAGCCGATGGGTCCTCATACACGCCACAGAAGTACGACCGAATGTGATCATCGTTCAGGCATTTCATAGAGACACGATCGATGTTGACGGGTGTTCACTAACGCCTATCAGACGGCCGGGATCAATGTCAGAAAGTCTCCTTTAGATAGCGTGGGGCCATTGTAACTTTTGCTCTCGCACACACTCAATCGCCTATTCCGAATATAGCTGTTGTGTTCCCTTCTGAGTATTTTTTCCGGCACTAGGCACTAAAGCGGGTCGGCAGCAGATTCCACAAACCGGCGAATCAGCAGATAAAACACATATCAATTTATTTTTAACAGAACACTCTCGAATCGAATGTGGCGCCTCGTGTTTTCACTCGGTATGATACTTAGCCGACGAAGGGCTAAACCGGTCGTGGGCTGTCAAGGAATTTTCAGCAACCTTATAAGTAGTGTTTTATCAGTTCAGAATTCCCCCGCATTCTGTGCTTCTAAAGCTTCCCGTAGCAACACTGACAGGGTACGGCCCTGTCAAACCCTCCACACTTGCATGTGAATCAAAGACCATCTCAGATGCGTAGAGCCCGCAGCCAATGAACGAAATACTGTTGTCGTGAGTAGATAGGAGGGTAATATATCTGAACAGGATTCATATGCTCATTTCCCAAATAAGATTATGCTAATATGACCCTATTTGGATCTACAAACCAGCAGATTCTTCAGATGAATCTACTGTTACGGGCACAAGTAGTCTCGTCTCAAGAAAAGTACCTATATAATGTGGTCTTCGTTTCAGCTGAAAGCTGAGGTGGTTTCTTCTAAGCACATTCATTCATTTAAAAATGCTACGGACGACAAAATCGGCCGGTGTTCAGTTGGACGACCAGTTAAAATCATCTTATCTTGCCAGTGAATACTCAAGTTCACTCACGCACAGTTTGCTCGGGATCTCGTTCATCCATTGAGCTACAAAATGGTGAGATGTGTAGTTTGCTATCAGAGAGTTTTCATCGACCTTATAAGTAGTGTTGTATAGTGGGGAAACCCAGTGTTCCACACGTCGCGCACCATTAACGGCTGTAATACATACTGTCTCGTGAAGGTGCATAGTAGAATGGAGTATACTACATAGCACGTATTCAAGGATGGGAAAATCCACAATCCAAAAAGTTGAGTTAGCGGCCGATTCGAATTAGCAATAAAGAACCAAAAGTCAACATATCGTGGAATGATCCATGAAGTTTGTGAGCCGGAATGGTCGCTATACGTTCCACCATCCTTGAAGTGGTTCTAAATTTTTCCCACCATCTAGAGCTTTTACACCAAATAGCCGGATCAGTAAATCGTGGAGCTGACTTCTGATAGGATCCGTTCACCCCGTTACCAAGACGTTATTCGGTTCTATTCACAACTGCTTTGTGGGAGGCTGTTCTGTTGAAGCCTGCCTGGTAGGGGACTGTGTTCTAAATCTGATGCATTCATCAGGCCAACTTGCAATACAGTATTAAATCCTTAGTACACTTGGGACAATATGACGCTGTCAGGGAAGCAAACTAAGTGAAATTTCACCTTCTGACAAAAAAATTGAGACCAAAACTATCATCGTGGGTATAGATAGCACTGGCGTCTCAGTGCTCATATTTTTACAGAAACGCTCTAAGGGGTGAAGAGTTGGGTATAGATAGCACTGGCGTCTCAGTGCAACAAAACCACATAGCTCATATTTTTACAAAAACGCTCTAAGGGGTGAAGAGAGCACAGGGGGCGGACGTTCTAGTAGCTTGCCACAACTATTAATAGGTACCTTTGTCCCTTCGAATCCTTGTGCATGCGGTCTGGTCCCTGACATCAGTTAGCCTCCATATCCCGCAATATCTACA